AGAACCCAGGAGATTTAGCAGAGATGCATCTGGGTTACGGGCACTGGACCACCCCAGGGGGGAAAGGGTGCTGTCCCTCCACCAGCTCTCCCTTGGCAGCTTGGGGGCTACCATCTTCCAGAGGCCATTGGGCAGTCAGGTTTGAGCCCACAGTGACGAGACACACAGGGCCTGATGGGATGGGGTGAAGCCGGCCCTTTCCTCCCCACCCCAACGAGACCCCGAGTTGCTGCCCACGGATGTCCTTTCTGGCTCCTGATCAAGCTGCTTAACGGCCATGATCCCAGAGACTATGTAACCAATCTTGGAACCCAGTAGCTTTTGGCAGAAGTGCTTCCGGACCCTGCAGTAGATCACCGGCATAGGGCCACCCCAGTGGGGAAAGGGTGCTGTCCCTCTGTCTGCTCCCCCTTGGCAGCTCTGTGGTCACCATCTTCCAGAGGCCATTGAACAGTCAGGTTTGGTCCCGCAGTGATGAGACACACAGGGCCTCATGGGATGGGAGCCGGCCCTTTCCTCCCCGCCCCAACAAGACCCCCAAGTCACCACCAATGAACGGCCTGTCTGGATGCTTAACGGCCATGATCCCAGAGACAGAGGAACAAATCTTGGAACCCAGCAGGTTTTGGCATAAATCCCTCCAGATTTAATTGTTAAAATTTCAGAATTCCAAAATCGCACGGCCCCTACTGCAGCCACACAACATCATATGTTACTCATAATCAGCAGTAAAAAACAAATTGTCTACTGTTGCCTTTTCAGCAGATCTGAGTGTTGGGGTAAAATCCCAAATAATAATGGTGGGTCTGGTGTTGAAATGTTGAATGTAGTCAAAGTAGAGAGTAATGTGGAAATCATCTGCCCCACAGTAGGAGGGGATTTGGGATGGGGGGTATACTGGGGGTTTTGGTGGTGGAAAATAGGCACTGGTGAAGGGATGAGTGTTTCATTGTATGACCGAGACTTAAACCCGAAAGCTTTGTAACTGCTCTCACGGTGATTCAATAAATAAATTTATAAAAAAGGGAAAAAAAGGTGGAGTTATGCCCAGTTCAATCAGCTTAATCAGTGGCTGAATAAATAGCAATACTCCTCCATTAAAATAAAAGAGCCCACAGTGGGAAATAATGACAGTTACACATGCACACATACACAGTGTCCTTGAAATCTAATTCCAGTTCTGGAATGTAAAGAGCTTTGAGTTCTTGATGACCCATTTGTAGCATTTGAACTGACCAATACTAAATTAAAAGGCCCTTTTCAATGGAAAAAAGGCCTTTGTTCATTATAGTAAAACCCAAGTAAATGCTCTAAGGTATAGCAGCCAGAAAGATTCCCACCGATAGGAATATCTGTTTTCATTTGTAATGTTGTGAAAAAATCTCTCTCAGACACACACACAATTTAAATTTAAATAAAACATGGTTTGCACCAACAGCAGTATTTTAAATACAGAATTATTGTAAAAATGAATGTTTCAGATGCTCCTTTTGTCCTCCTTTGCCATTTAATTCTGTAAATTTATCTATCTCCTTCCCCAGTACATCCTCCATCTGCCACCTTCCATTTCTGTTTTCTTTTTGTTTATATCTGATTGTACTCAGGGATTCCTCCTAGTTCACTGCTCTTGGATGACTTCTGATGGCTTCAGGGTATCATACGTGGTGCAGAGTATTGAAACTAGGTCAGCCACGTGCAAGGCCAGCACTTGAACCCCTGTTCTACCACTTCAACTACTTAATTTCTGCATTCTGTCAGCCTCACGGGCCCTTCTCTCACAGCTGTTCCAGGAGAAGTAGAGAGGGATGAAGTGACCCCATGTCTCCTTTGATTGAGACTCTGTCAACAGCATTTCCATAGGAGACACTCAAGCCATAATGAAGTGACACAGTGCTCACATGAATCACAATCCTGCTCTCAGATTGTTAATGGCTGTTTTCACTGGCTACTCAGTGAGATTAATTACAGACTGATACCAGTGACGCAGTTCAGTGAAGCAATATTCAGACCCATTTCCCACTGGAATTAAACAGCCTGGTAAATTGCATGGCTTGGACAGGATTCAAACACTCAGGAGACCAGCAGGAGAGGCCAAATAGCCAAGCTGCCCAGGTGTGGATGTTTTCTACGTAGTTAGCCATGAATCTGACCGTTGAGAAGCATTAGAGTTCCAGAGGAATCTAGACAGGTAATGGTCTTTACTGAGATGACCATCTGCTTTTCTTTCTGCCATGTAGTGGCAGACTTCCACCTGAGCAATGCTAGGAAGAACAATGGACTTACATCAGATTGTAAGTTTTTTACATCTTTCTTAGAAAAAAAATAATTTCTTTGCATGGGAAGATTTTAATTTTGGAAGTGCATTTTATTTAACGATAAAACCTGTAATTCAAATTTTTCCTTTTAATTATAGTTAAATCTAATAAAATCTAAAGAGTTTATTATTCGGTACAAAGTCCTTCCGTTAAAAAGTTCAGCCTTCTTAGGAAAAATGAAGTCATGAAATTTGCCTATAAATGGTCAGGGAGACTATCATGCTGAGTGAAATGAGTCAGAAGGAGAGGGACAGATATAGAAAGACATCATTTATTTGTGGTATATAAACAATTGTAATATAAGAGTAATGTCCACAACAGGGAAAAACAGGCGCTAGTAGGACTGGTCAATGGTTGTATCAATCACATGTGTGTGGGAAGTGGATGTTAGGTAAGATAGAGAAGGGACAGTACGACAATAGCTGGAAATGCTCACACTGGACAAGAATTGAGAGTTAAAAGTAGGTAAAGGGATATACCTGATAACCTTTCAGTACCTGTATTGAAAGGGGGAAAGGAGAGAGGCAGAGGGTGAGAGACAGAGAGGGAGAGAGAAGTGCCTACCCTAGAGGCAGGCTGTGTGTGTGTGTGTGTGTGTGTGTGTGTGTGTGTGTGTGTGTGTGTAGGGAGAGCGATGGGAAGGAAACTGGGGACACTGATGCTGGGAAACGTATACGGGTGGAGTGACAGGTGATAGAAACTGTATGACTGAAACCTAATCATGAACAGCTTTGCAAGAGTCTGTCGCAGTGATTGAGCAAAAATGTTTTAAATATTCAGCCTTGTAGAATGGATATCAACAATAAGACATTTTCTTTAATTGTTCACTGAGGGTAATTTCTATCATTTACACATGTTTTTTAAGTAAGTCTGACAGTTTTCAAGATTTGAAGATGTCTCTTATGTTTAGGCACTTACTTAACTGAAAGTAGGTTCAATGTTAAATGAAATAAAACTAATGACTGAGATGTGGATAATATTTATAGAAGGCTACGCAGATTTTAAAAAATTTCTGACATTCTAAAAAATTAGCTAGAGTGTCTTCCCGGCATGTTAATGATACATAAGAATAAGAAAGAAATTCAAGAACTCTTTGGGTGATTTCCCTGATCATTATTGTCTCACATTCGAATTAATGGGCAGTAGCACTGTAGCACTGTCCTCCTGTTGTTCAACAGTTTGCACGAGCGGGCCCAGTAACGTCTCCATTGTGAGATTTGTTATTATTGCATTTGGCATATCGAAAACGTCCCAGGTAGCTTGCCAGGCATTCCCATGTGGGCGAGATACTCTCGGTAGCTTGCTGGGCTCTCCAAGAGGGGCGGAGGAATCGAACCTGGGTTGGCCAAGTTGGGCCACCTGCAAGGCAAACGCCCTATTATTTAACGAAATTATTTTAGAAGTAAATTAATGAAATTAGAATTAATTTAATGAAATCGTTTCAGTTTGTGGAAACAACCTTTCAATCAATTATTCACTCCATTTCCAGTGTCAATATTACTGAAGCAGACATTGTGTTTTGTTAGGATAAAAGAAGAAATGTGTGAACTATAGTATTATCCATCTAAAATGCATGAAATCCCTCAAAAATCAAGTACTGTCAATTGTAATGCTTCAGTGATCATTTTCTGTTATTTCCTCTGATAAAGTTGTATGACTTCTTTTCCACAGCCTCTAAACCATCATTTATTCTGGAGCTGTGACTCACACATCATGGGTTGGTAGAGAATAATCTTCAGAAGAGAGAGAATAAGGAGACAGGAGAGGGAATACTGGATCATTCCCACCTGTACATGGAGATTGATAGATGAAATAGGTCCAAATAGTGATACCAGTGTACCACCTCATATGAGGGCAGAGACTGTCTCAGCCTGGTGACTCCCCCATCCCTAACCTAGAACTAATCTCATGGAGGAATGGGGGACAGGGACGCAGACATATTTGAGACTGCACATTCACACATCCTAAGAGTTGCAGTGGGTCTGAGGAGAAGAGAGAAACTGTGGCAGCACAGATGTCCCTCACTGGGGGTGGTCAGAGTCAGGTGGTGGAGGATATTACAGACCTGGGGGTCATAAAAGCAGGAGGCTAACCATGATGGCTCTGGAGAGGTGGAGATTTCATCTGCTAAGAATGCAAGTTTAGGACAAAGGTGTGAGCCTGTAAATGAGGCGTAAGGCTTAGTTTGATGATTCTTTATGAGTAGTCGAATGTGATGTGTTCTCTAGACGAGGGTTTGCCGTGTATGCGTTGGTGAGAGTTATTCTCAGACTGATGAGGGAGCTCTGATATTGATATTCTCCCATGATCTGTCACTATCATCTTCATAGACATTGTCCGGGGCTGGACTTGGTTGTGAGAAATAATGTTGAAGCATAAGACAGGGACGGCCTTTGACAGCATTGGCTGGTCCCCTGTGTTTTGAGAGAGGTTGTGAAGGACAGTGTTCAGGTTGTTCAGGTTATTCAGGTCAGTTGGCGTTTCTGTCCTTCAGCATTTCACACAGCATTGGGAAAACACACACACTCTCATGTGCACCAGAGTCAGGTTATTCTATTCTGCAGCACCATCAACATTAGGAGTGTTCAGCACGGAGTGGACAGCGGGACATGATTTAAACTGACACGCTTCTCTCAACATCTGAATGACTTCACTCTTTACCCCTCTGTTATATAATCGATTCCTCCAGTCATGTCAAACCTAACTTTGGTAAGAGAATTCATCCTCATGGGATTTCCTGCCGATGAAAGTCTGTCCATCTTGCACTCCTTGCTCTTTTCCCTGATTTACTCGTGTTCTCTGATGGGGAATGTCCTCATTATCATAATCATAACTTGGGCCCAGCATCTCCACACCCCCATGTATTTCTTCCTGAAGAATTTGTCCTTCTTGGATCTCTGCATGATTTCAGTCACCGTGCCCAAATCCATAGCCAACTCTGTGACTCAGGACCACTCCATCTCCTTCCGTGGCTGTGCCACACAGGTCTTTTTCTTCATTTTGACTGTAGCCACCGAGCTACATCTCCTGACAGTGATGAGCTTTGATCGCTATACAGCCATATGCCGTCCCCTGCACTATGACCTCATCATGAACAGGTGCCTGTGTGTGCAGATGACAGCTGGGTCCTGGTTGGGTGGTTTTCTGTTCGGTGTGATGCACACAGCTAGCACCTTCTCCTTCTCCTTCTGTGGTTCCAATGTGATCCATCAGTTCTTCTGTGACATCCCCCAGCTATTAGCTATATCTTGCTCAAAAAGTTTTTTAAGAGAAACTGTAACCATTCTCGTTGGTGTAGTGGTGGGTACCTTTTGCTTCATGTTCGTTGTCATTACCTATGTCTATATCTTCTCCACAGTCAGGAACATTCCATCCTCGGAAGGCCGCTCCAAAGCCTTCTCCACTTGCATCCCACATCTGTTAGTGTTTGTCCTGTTTCTTTCTTCTGCCATGTTTGCTTACCTAAAGCCAACTTCAGAGTCCCCTTCCATAACTAACCTCGTCATTTCTGTGTTTTATACAATGGTGGGGCCAACCTTGAATCCTGTCATCTACAGTCTTCGGAATAGTACCATGAAGATGGCAGTGGGGATGTTGCTAGGAAAATGTTCATCTAAATGGAAGAGCCTCCTTGCTGCCAACCAGCTTTTATCTGAACTCAAGATCATTTTTCATATCCTGTAACTTTGTTTCATTTTTATACCCTAGATCTCCTTAAGGACTTGATTCCCATCATTGGAAAGAACCTGTCAAAGTGGATAAACACATTTTTAACATATTATGGCTTGTTTCCACAAATCTCTGCTTTTTCTTCATGTCATTCATTGATATTCTGCTTTATCCACTTACAATTCTCTATGGCATATGAGAACTCTCCAAATCATTTTTTCTCTGGATAAGAAATCCAATATAATCTCATGAATTAAAATAATTGTTGTGAAGGGAATGATTTTTTGTTATTATTCCAGCAAATGTAGTAATATCAATATTTGATTTGTATACTTTTTATATTGTTTACAACATGTATTTGTATTGTTAAAAATGATTGAATTCATGTTATTAGAAACATTTGCTTGATGGCATAATCCTGTGTGTGCAGATGACAGTTGGGTCCTGGTTGGGTGGTTTTCTGTTCGGTATGATGCACCGAAAGTGTAAGAACCTTTTCTGTACTGGTTATATATCTTCATATAGAGCTTCTGTCCAAAATTACAATCTTACTGAGAAAAAAATATGGGCCTGTTTGTCTTCTGAATCCAGAAGAGGGGTAGAGTATGTTGGTGTAGATGACAATAGATCACATGGATCTACAAAAGTGATTTTGAAGCTAACTTTTTACAGCCTCATATAATGTTCTATTTGATTTTATCACTTTTGGCAGCATTTATTGAAGCTTTGGTGCTACATACACTTATATATGATTCTGAATTAAAGATTAAAAATTTAAATTTAATATCCAAATCCTCCTTAGAGTGATTCATCAGTAATGAGGTTCTGATTTTATTAGAAATGTTATTTTAATATTCATGCATACAAAAAATTACATCATGCTTCTAGTGCACAAAAAAGTATTGTAATTTTTATTTTCACAGCCACTTAAGATGTCTTGAAAACTTTTCTTTGAAGAGACCTACCCCTGTCGTGTAACTCAGGAGACAAAGCCATGACTGGCTCATGATTCAACCATTTAAAAAATGCCATTTTTTCCCTTTCCTTCTACCTCTCAGCAATTTAGCTAAACAAATCCTTTTTTGTTACTTGGAATTCGTAGTGGTAATATAGCCACTTCGATATAGACATACATGCAACACAACAGCCTTGAAATATATGTTCTTGAAGATAAATAGATTTAAATTTTGATTACCCATTTCTAGACCTTTAATCTGACCAATACTAATTTTCTAGGTCCTATTTTCCAATGAAATTACTCTTTTTTGGCGCTGTATTTTGGTTCTCACCCAGAAATATCAAGGGTTGCTGTTGGCTCTGCACTCAGAAGTTACTCCTGACAGTGCTTGGGGAATTGTATGGGAACCTGGGTTCGAAACCTGCTCAGTTGCCTGCAAGACAAATGTCCTACTCGCTGTATTCTCACTCCAGCCTCCCAATGAATTCACTTTTTTTACGACATGAAAGCCAAGTAAATAACTCCCTGGCTAAGCAACTATAAAAACCAGTGAGATCCCAGTAGCAGTAGGAATTTTTTCATTTCTAGAAACTCAATAATTTTGTCTGTCTCTTTCTCTCACAAACACACACATTCAGATATAATTAATGGCAGAATATGGGTAGATCTAAAGGCAATATACTTTTGTACGTGAAAGTGAATGTTTTAGGAGATCTCCTTTATCCTCCATTGTTATTAATTTCCTCAGTTATTTCTCTCTGCCTTTTCTTTCCCACCATCTTCTATTTCATTTTACGTTGTCACACCAGCAGTGATCAGGACTAAATCCATGCTCTTGTGCTCAGGGATCACTCTCCTGACAGTGCTCAGGGGATCCTTTGTGGTGTTGGGGTTGACTGGGCTCAGCCATGTGCAAGCAGGCACCTAAACCCCTGTTCTTTCTCTTCTCCCGGCTCCATTTCTGCATTCCCTCAGTTTCGCAGCCCCTTCTTTCCAAACTCTTCATGAGAGGCACAGATGGGGGTGAGAGTGACAGCAGGTCTCTTTTGATGATGAGCTCATAGTTGTCGTGAGGTCACAACAGCAGACTCATCATAGGCACTCAGACCACAGCATAGCTCTCAAATGAATGACTTTCCGAAGCCAGATAGTAAATGATGTGCGCACCAGCTCCTCAGTGAGACTGATCACACTGATGCCAGTGAAGCAAGACATGGAGGAAAGTTCAGACTCTGGAATAAAGGAGCTTGATAAATTGCATGTCTCTGATAAGATTCATCCACTCCGGCTACCAGCAGCAGTGGTGAAAGTAAAAGCTGTGCAGGCCCCTCTTCCTGTCTACCAGGGGAGGCATGAAGCAAGGCAGTTGAGAACAATTTGGGTAATCGTCTTTACTGAGATGAGAGTCAAAATATCCGTCTGCCGTGAGGTGGTGGACTTTCACCCAGAGTCCTGCTAGGAAGAGAGGTTTGGAGGTGTTTACAGGCCTTCATAAGAGAGAAGGAAATTTGCATTTAATGGAAGAGATTTAAAACACGGAGTTTATTTTAGCTTAAAAAGGTAGTCTTCCTTGATCGCATCTCTGCACTGCTTTGCGAGCTCGGAAGTTAGCTTGTGGTTGCCTGAGGCATGCGCCAAACCACGCTGGCGAATTAGCTCAAGAGTTTTCGAAGATAGGCGATTTTTTGTGGCTATCTCTCTCTTGGCGTTCCTCGCACATTCATGGAGGTGCTGAACCAGTCGATCATATTCCTCGTCAATGTTGTCAACAATTGCATCTTCCCATGTTGCCGCAATAGTACCAAAGAGTTCCCAGTTGGTGGTCATTCTGGGAGTTCTCTTTTTGAACTTTGCAGCCCTTTCTCCCCGCTCTGTGAAGTAGAATTTTGCATGAAGGAGATGGTGGTCCGATCCCGTTCGAAATTTTGGGACAACAGCGACATCAGTCAGGCAAAACCGTCGATTGAATATGATGTGGTCTATTTCGTTGTGGAATCGTCCACCGGGAGACTCCTATGTCCATCGTTTAGATTCTGCCTTCTGGAACTGTGAGTTACCATGGATGGTCCTGGTCGACATGATGAACTCAGACAGTCTCTCACCCTGTTCGTTCCATTCTAGGCCATGGGTCCCGATGTGAAGTTCTTCAGCTGATCTTCTTGGTCCTATCTTGGCATTAAAATCACCCACAATGATCTTGTAGAAGGTGTGGTCTTCTTTATAGAACTTCTCTAGCTCCATGAAGAACTTCTCGATTTCTCTTTCATCATAATGAGATGTTGGTGCGTAGACAACGAAGATAGAAACTGCAGGCAGTGAGTCACATCTATTCAGATGTAAACGTCCGATTCGGGTTGTTAGGCATTCGAATGAATCAATGCTTTTGGCCAAGTTTGTGTTGACAAGGACACCGACACCTCCAACACCTCTTTTATCTCATGTTCCGAGGAACAATTCTTCTCCGGTGTCGAAAACAGCATGGTGAGATTCGTGCCTTCTTGTCTCGGTCAGACCAATGATGTCGTACTTGATCATTCACGCTTGTACCATCAGGTCCTCGATGGATGCATCTGATGCTAGCGTACGTGCATTGAAAGTACAGACGATCATTTTTTTGTCTTCCTTCGTTGTGGCAGCCTAGTTCTGCCTTGAGATTTTGTCAGCCTCTCCTTTCTCATCCTTCTCAGTGCTGCCATGTCGGTGAAGCCTTCAGGGTCAGGTGAATGAGACCAGTTGTAGTTACTGGTTTTGGCATATCGAATACACAGCGGATAGCTTGCCAGGCTCTTCCGTGCGGGCGGAATACTCTCGGTAGCTTGCCAGTCTTTCCAAGAGGGATAGAGGCTTTTGGGGCGACCTCTAATCACCCTTGTAGGTGTTACCATATTTGAACCCTATCAAATATGGTACGACAATTCCGGAAGATGGGTATTTAGTGTCTTATGATGTGTCGCACGGCCGCTTGCAGCCGCGCGGGTCCGGAAAGTGTCCTGGAGTGTGGCGACGGCTGGGTAGTGGAAGTAGTGTTGAAAGAGAGAAGAGCAGAAGTACTGGTAGATGCGGCAGAAGCCAGGAAAAGTATTCGTAACGCCCGCCTGTCCTTCGCCAACTACAAGACCAAGATGACTGCCCTCTGACGTCCTGATGGATCCATCACATCCTCCAGAATGGCAATGGAGAAGATTATCCATGACTTCTACTCAAATCTCTTCGATAGCCATGTCCACTTGCCGACATACCAAATTCCACAGGATGGATATGTCATACCCAACGTTCTCCCTTCCGAAATCCGACACGCCATTTCGTCGGTAAAGAAACAAACAGCACCCGGCCCAGACAAGGTCAGACCTGAACACCTGAAGAACCTACCATCAGTACTCATCAATACACTGGCTCGGCTCTTCACTCGCTACCTGTCCGAATGCAAGGTTCCGTCCCAATGGAAAACCAGCAGGACCGTACTACTGTTCAAGAAGGGAGACATCCATGACATTGGCAACTATCGCCCGATCTGCCTATTGTCTGTCATCTACAAGTTGTTCACTCGAGTCATCCTAAATAGGATTGGCAGAACACTAGATGAAGGACAACCATGCGAGCAAGCCGGGTTCCGCAAAGGATTCAGCACCATCGACCATATCCACACAATAACCAAGCTCATTGAGGTTTCTCGGGAGTTCAAGATGCTGCTCTGTTTAACGTTCATTGATTTAAAGAAGGCCTTTGATTCTGTTGAGACGGAAGCGGTCATTGAAGCCATAGCCAATCAGGGCATTCAAGCCCAATACATCAGGATCCTCCGTGAGCTGTATTGTGGATTCACTACCAGGATCTCACCATTCTCCAAAGAAGTGATCGTTGATGTCAAGAGAGGGGTGCGGCAGGGTGATACCATTTCACCAAAACTCTTCAGTGCCACCCTCGAGAACATCATGCGACGACTGGAATGGGAAGGAATGGGAGTGAAGATAGATGGTCGGCAACTACACCACCTCCACTTTGCTGATGACATTGTTTTACTAACACCAAACATCAGCCAAGCGGCACAAATGCTGGCCGACTTTGACCGTGAGTGTGGAAAGGTAGGACTACAGCTGAATCTTACGAAGACAATGTTTATGAGAAACAGCCTTGTTCCTGACGCCCCATTCGCTCTCAGTGGAACGACCATCTCCGAATGCAACAGCTATGTGTACCTAGGTCGAGAGGTCAACATGACAAATGACCTGGCACCCGAGCTGCGCAGGAGGAAGAGAGCGGCTTGGAACGCCTTCAAGAACGTCGAAGAAATAGCTAAGAGGACGAAGAACCTCCGGCTCCGGGCACATCTCTTTGATTCCACTGTTCTTCCTGCATTAACATATGCCTCAGAGACCTGGGCCCTACGCAAACAAGATGAGAACGCTATTCAGGTCTCCCAAAGAAGAATAGAAAGAGCTATGCTTGGAATATCACGTTTCACTCAAATGAGAGAGAGAATCCGGAGTTCTGACATCCGTCGACGATCAAGAATCAGGGACGCTGTCTCATATGCCAAGGTGTCGAAAATCAGATGGGCTGGTCACATAATGAGATTTAAAGATGACCACTGGACTAGAGCTGTTACCGACTGGATTCCACGGGTTGTCAAAAGACTGTGTGGCCGCCTACCTTCCAGATGGTCAGACTTCTTCGTCAAGATCATGAACGATCGGTTTGAGGCCCTTCATGTTCCCGGAGCAAACAGATGCCATTGGGCTACACTAGCACGCGACAGGGACAAATGGAGACGTTACTGGCGCCCGCTCGAGCAAATCGCCGACTAACGGGAAGTTAAGTGATTAAGTGATTAAGTGAAAAAGGTAGTAACCTCACTCCCCCCCCCAAATAAAGGCAGTAACCCATCTCATATCGCATTTTAAAATAACTGGGGGTATGGTGCTGCCAGCAGGTCAATCTGTACCTGTGAGGTGAGTGCATCAGCAGACTTCAGACTTCAGACTTCTAGATACCCCAAAATTGCTGCTGTGCCTTTGGCCAGACCCCAACAACTTGGGGCCAGTTTACCAAGAAAGTAAACAGCCAAAAGTTAGGTATGTGGGAGGCACACCCACAAACCACCTCCAGCTCAGTGGCTGCTATCCTCCTCCAGAGGCCATTGGACATTCAGGTTTGGGCCTGCAGTGACAAGACACGCAGGGACTTGGAACCGGCCCTTTCCTCCCCACCACAATGAGACCCAGAGTTGCCGCCCACGAATGGCCTCTCTGGCTCCTGATCAAGCTGCTTAGCCTAAGAAACAAATCTTGGAACCCAGGGGCTTTTGGCAGAGATGTGTCCAGTCCCTGCAAGAGGTTACTGGTGCTGACCACCCCAGATGGGAATAGGTTTCGTGCATTGGCCTGTTCCTTCTGGCGGCTCAGTGCCACCATCCTCCAGAGGCCATTGGACAGTCAGGTTTGGGTCCACAGTGACGAGACATGCAGGGCCTTATGGATGGAGGTGGAGCTGGCCCTTTCCTCCCCACCCCAATGAGACCCCGAGTCACCGCCCACAAATAGCCTCTGTGACTCCTGATCAAGCTGCTTAACTACCATGATCCCAGAAACTCAGGAACAAATCTCGGATGCCCAATTTCACCACTTCTGTTCAATATAGTACTGGAAATACTTGCAATAGTGATTAGGCAAGAAAAAGACATTAAAGGCATCATTTCACTTAGGGTTTTGCCAAGTATGCATTTGTGAAAGATGTTCTCAGACCAATTGAGGGAGCTCTGTTATTGATATTCTCCCATTATACTTTCCATGTAGAACCACTTGTATGTAAATTTTATGAATTCATCTTTTCTAGCAGCTGCATAATATTCCATTGTGTTGATGTACCAAAGTTTCTTTAACCAGTCATCTTTTCTCAGACACTTGGGATTTTTCCAGATTTTGGCTATTGTGAACAGTGTAGCAATGAACATAAAAGTGCAGATGTCGTTTCGACTGTACTTTTTTGCCTCTCTGGGATATATTCGGCCATGCGACATCTTACTATCTCATTCTTACTTTGGACAAACTGGCAGGCTACCGAATGTAACCTGCCCACACGGCAGAGTCTGGCAAACTCCCTGTGGCGTACCCAATATGCCAAATACCAGTAACAATGATGGGTCTCATTCTCCTAACCCTGAAAGAACCTTGAATATGACACTTTTTAAAAATCTCAGGGCTAGGACAAAGAAGACGTTACTGGGGCCTGCTCGAGGCAATCGATAAACAACAGGATGGTTGTGATCATGATATTCCCAAGAGTGGTATTGCTGGGTCAAATGGGAGCTCAGTTTCTAATTTTTTGAGAATCGTTCATTCTGTTTTTCAAAAGGGCTGAACCAGTTGGCATTCCCACCAGCAGTGAACGAGGGTCCCTTTCTCGCCACATCTGCGCCAACACCAGTTGCTTTTGTTCTTTTGGATGTGGGCCAGTTTCTGTGGTGTGAGATGATATCTCATTGTGGTTTTGATCTGCATCTCCCTGATGATTAATGATGTAGAGCATTTTCTCTTGTGCCTTTTTGCCATTCAGATCTCTTCTTTGAGAAAGTTTGTGTTCATTTCATTACCCCATTTTTTGATGGGGTTGGATGTTTTCTTCTTGTGTAGTTCAGCCAGTGCTTTGCATATTCTTGATATCAACCCCTTATCGGATGGGTATTGGGTGAATATCCTTTCCCATTCTGTAGATTGTCTTTGTGTTTTTGTTCACTGTATCTTTGGTGGTGCAGAAGCTTCTTAGTTTAAGATAATACCATTTGTTTATCTCTATTTCCACTTGGCTGGTCAGTGGCATGTCATCTTTGAAGATTGTTGTTCCATATGAATTTCAGAGTGCTTGATCTATTTCTTTAAAGAATTTCATGGGTGTCCTTATAGGGATTGCATTGAATCTGTATAATGCTTTGGGGAGTATTGCCATTTTGACAATGTTAATTCTTCCTATCCATGAACAGCGGATATGTTTCCATTTCCATGTGTCCTCTTTTATTTCATGGAATAGGGTTTTTTTTAATTAGTGAAACACCATGAGGTACAGTTGTAGACTTACAAATTTTTGTGCTTGGGTTTCAATTATACAATGATCAAATACCCATCCCTCCACCAGTGCCCATTTTCCACCACCATGGGTCCCAGTATCCCTCCCACCTCCCATCCCCCCATCCACCCTGCCTCTGTGGCAGGGAATTCCCTTTTGTTCTCTTTCATGGAGTAGTATTTTGTAGTTTTCATTGGAAAGGTCTTTAGTTAGGCTGATTCCGAGGTACTTGATTTTCTGGGCACGATTGTGAATGGGATTGCTTTATTCATATTACTTTCCCCATCTCATTATTTGCATATAGGAGGGCCATGGATTTTTGTGTATTAATTTTATAGCCTGCGACTTTACTGTACAAGTCTATTGTTTCTAGGAGTTTCTTGATAGCGGCTTTAGGATTCTCATAGATGGCTTTGACTATCTTGAGGAAAGTTCCTTCAAAACCCATTTTGATGAGAGTTTTCATCATAAACGGCTGCTGGATCTTGTCAAATGCTATCTCTGCATCTATTGAAATGATCATATGGTTTTTATCTTTACTTTTGTTGATATGATGGATTATGTTGATTGATTTCCGAATGTTAAACCATCCTTGCACAGCGGGTAGGCTGTATGCCTTACATGCGGCCCACATGGCTGACCCGAGTTCGATTCCTCCACCCCTCTCAGAGAGCCTGGAAAGCTACTAAGACTATCTTGCCCGCATGGCAAAGCCTGACAAGCTACCCGTGACATATTCGATATGCCAAACACAGCAACAACAAGTCTCATGATAGAGATGTTACTGGGCCTGCTCGAGCAAATCGATGAACAAATGGATGGACAGTGATAGATACAGCTGAAGTTAAATTATTAACTGGAAGGTGACTTTGGGGTTTGGAGGCATCTGTGCAACTGGTTGATGCTGTGTATTACTTTTAAGTGATAGTTACTCCCTTTTCTTAATATGCTATGAATATTTAATGATCTCACATATCCTGAAGTTTGGTGAAAGGCATATTTATTACTGCAATAAAAGATGATTTAAGATACTAGAAAATGGTGTCTGGGGCAGGAGAAGGCTGGGGAAGGGGGGTATACTGGGGAGATTGGTAGTGGAAATGTGCACTGGTGGAGGGATGGGTGTTTGATGATGTGTGATTGTAACTCAAACATGAAAGCTTGTAACTATCTCACGGTGACTCAATAAAATTTAAAAGAAAAGAAAATGGTGTCTGACCTTAGTTCAAAAATTATATGCAGTCAGTGATCAAATTCTTTTGCAACTGTCTGCAAGTCACAAGTAGGCTGAAGAGGATGGAAGGCAGAGCAGCCAGACTTCGGGAAGTGATTTCATCCTCCTGGATCTGTTTCACGGCACCCCAGCTCCCTGGGTCTTCTTGACACTCACTGTGGTGGATTTTCTGGTCGCCCTGCTTGGAAACTCCACAATCAACTTCCTCATTTGGGCTGACCCTCTTCTCCACAACCCCATGTTCTTCCTGCTCAGCCAGCTCTCCCTCATGGATATTCTGTATATCTCCACATCTGTTCCCAAAGTGGTCCTGGTCTTTCTGGGAAACGCTGCATCTCTTTCATTGGGTGCAACTATCAGATATTCCTTTTTACGATCCTGTTTGGTTCAGAGCTTCTCTTGTTGCCCGTGATGGCATATGACCTATACGTGGCCATCTGCCACCCACTGCGCTGTTCCATTCTCATGCACCCCAAGGTCTGTGTGTTGCGGGTACTTGTGACCTGGCTGGTGGCACTGCTCAATGCTATGATCCACGTGATCTACACTCTGACTCGCCCTTACTGTGGCTCCAGGAAAATCCATCATTTCTTTTGTGAGATCCCAGCCCTCCTGAAAGTGGTCTGTGTGGACATCTCCCAGTATGAAAAGGGTGTTTTTGTGAGTGGGGTGGTTTTTATCCTTCTTCCTTTTTCAGCTATTCTGGGCTCCTATGGCAGCATACTGTCCACTGTACTGGGCATGGGGTCAAGGCAGGGACTGAGGAAAGCCTTGTCTACTTGCTTTTCTCACGTGATTGTGGTATCCCTATTCTATGGCCCTACCATCTTCAAGAACATTATTCCCAACTCCTACCACACCCCTGAGCAGGAGGAATTGGTCTCTGTCTTTTACAACGTTATAACGCCCATGCTCAATCCTCTCATCTACAGCTTATGGGACAAGGATGTTGCTAGAGCTTTCAGGAAAGTTCTTGGAAAATGAGAACTACGAAGTGTTTGAATTTCAATTGTCATCCAACAATGGAGATGTCCTTTGTTTGAGATGAAATTTAACATGTGTATATCTAGATACATTAATGCAGATTTTTAACTGTAAACCAGATAATTTGAGGAATTGTGGAGGGACCAACATACGTTTGAAAATTTGATGGTCATAAAGAAAAGTCTCTTTTTATTACATTTAATGCTGTAACTGTTTGTAGTCGAGTATAACTAGGTGAAATTTTTTTATTTATGGAATTATAAAATTTGTGGATGATAATTATATTTGCTTATTTTTTCAGTTTCAAATATCTTTACATGGAGCATCATAATTTCTTTGAAGAGTGTTTTTTTTAATGTGTGTGTGTGTGTATGTGTGTGTGTGAGAGAGAAATGCTGAGGGCTGACTCTTGTTTCTGCACTCTGGGATCATTCCTGGTGGGCTTGGGAGACCATATAAATTACTGGGGATAGAACTTGGCTTGGCTACTTGCAAGGCAACTGCCACCTTCTCCTAGCCATCTAGCCCTCAAGAGTGTTTTAAATTAAGGATTGAAGTGTACTTATTGTTGACTGCTCTAAATGAAGTATATTGAATATTTAAAATTATAATTTTTCTATAAGATATTTACTACGAGAATTATTTCTAGTGTCTGAGTGGTTGTACAGTGGGTTTGGTGCTTGTCTTTCATGTGGTTGATCCAGATTTGATCCCAGGCATTCCACATGGTCTCCAGAGGCTTCCAGGGATGATTTCTGAGTATAGACCCAGGAGTAACCACCTAGCACGGCAGGTGTGGCTGAAATACCAAGAAACAGACAATTATTTCCATAAAATTAGTCATATAATTATTGGCTCTTTGTTTATTGATGCAGCGTATGTTTAAAATAAATGTATTCTGGGGCGTGGTCTAATTTCCCGTGGGTGGCCGCTCGTGCGGCCGCAGGTTGTTTATCCATACTAAGGAACCTAGTCCCCAAGGAATCTAGTCCCCAACCTACTCAGCAATATGAAGAAACAAAATCCCCACCACAAGGAGAGGACAACGAAAACAATCTAGAAGATTCTGTCTATACCGCTCACCTAAGGGACGTCTCTGACATAGAATTCAGATGGAAAGTCATGAAGATGTTCAATCAACTCAATGAAACAGTCAGACAGCCAGTAACACCACAGAAAAAATCGACAAAATACGCGAAGAAATGAGAGCAGAAATGTCATGATTAAAAGATTCCGTAGATGAAATCAGAAACTCAGTCTCTTCTCTTAACAATAGAATGACCGCAGCTGAAGAGAGAATCAGTGAGCTGGAAGATCAGCTGCACCAAGCCAACATGCAACAACAAACAGTGGCAAGGGACCTCAAAATAGCTCTACAGAGAATCAAAGTCCTAGCAGATGATTCCAAGAGGAACAACATTATAATCATGGGACTACCTGAAACTCAGGGAAACAATATCAACAAAAAAAACACCGTCAAACAAATCATTGCTGAAAAATTCCCAGAGCTCCACAATGCACCCATTCAGGTTCAAGGAGCCCGAAGGGTGCCAGCTAAAAGAGACCCAAACAAAAACACTCCAAGACATATTATAGTTAGAATGATCGATGCTGCCGATAGAGACATAATACTGCAAGCAGCAAGGGCAAAGAAGGAAATCACATACAAAGGAGCACCCCTTAGATTCACAGCAGACCTATCAGAGGAATCCCTCCAAGCCCAAAGGCAGTGGCGAGATATAGTCAAAAAAGCTCACTGAAATGAATGCTTCACCAAGAATACTCTATCCGGCTAAACTCTCCCTCAAAATCGAAGGAACGGTACACTATTTTCTAGTTAAACAGCAGCTCAGGAACTTCATGACTCAAAACCAAACCTAAAACAAGGGCTAAAGGGGCTACTATAAGACAAGACAAACTCTACAACCACAACACACCCGCACAGAAAGATGACACAAAACCCCATAACCATACTCCCTCTCAATGACAACGGTCTAAATACACCATTTAAGAGACACAGAGTGGCAAAATGGATACAGAGACAGAACCCAACATTCTGCTGCCTACAAGAAACTCAACAGCCAGAGCAAACACAGACTCAAAGTCAAAGGATGGAAAACAATCCTGCAAGCACACAGCTCCTTCTAAAAAGCTGGGGTGGCCATACTAGTATCCGACAACATTAATTTCACCTTGAAAAAGATTAGAAGGGACAGTGAAGGCTATTTTCTCTTCATCAAGGGATACGTACAACAGGAAGAAATAACACTCTTAAATGTATACGCACCTAATGAGGGAACAGCTAAATATTTAAAACAACTGCTAACAGATTTTAAGGAGGACATCGCTACCAACACAATAGTACTTGGAGACTTCAACATCGTCTTATCACCTCTGGATAGATCAACAAGAACAAAACCCAGCAAGGAATTATTGGCTTTGAAAGAAGAAATAGAAGAGAAAGGACTTATAGACCTATACAGGGCTTTACACCCCCAAAAGAAAGAATACACGTTCTTCTCCAGTGCGCATGGAACATTTTCCAAAATAGACCATGTGCTAGGACACAAAAAGTACCTCAACAGAATCAGGAAGATAGAAATAGTATCAGCCATATTTTCAGACCATGATGCACTGAGGATAGAAGTGAATCACACACAGACACGGAGAACCAAATCAAACACCTGGAAATTAAACAACTTGATGCTGAACAACAGTGGGTCAGGAACAAAGTCAAGGACGAAATCAAAAGATACCTGGAAACAAATGAGAATGAAGACAAACTACCAGAACTTATGGGATGCAGCGAAAGCTGTATTAAGGGGAAAATTTATAGCTCTGCAAGCATATCTTAGGTCAGTAGAAATGATGCACATAAACAACTTGACCTCACAGCTCAAGACCTTAGATAAGGATCAACAGAAAGAGCCTAAATCAAGCAGAAGGAAAGAGATCATAAAACTAAGAGCAGAAATCAACGACATGGAAAACAAAGAAACATTCTGAAAGATCAATGAAACCAAGAGCTGGTTCTTCGAGAAAATAAATAAGATAGATAAACCACTAGCAACACTCACAAAGAAACAGAGAGAGAGCCCTAATTAATCGAATCAGAAATAAGAATGGGGATATCACAACAGAAACTAATGAAATTCAAGAGATAATCAGAGACTACTTTGAAAGTCTGTATGCTATGAAACACGAGAACCTAGAAGAAATGGATAAATTCCTGGATTCCTGTCATCTCCCAGTGCTGAATCAAGAAGATATAGAGTACCTGAATAGACCTATTCACATCAAGGAAATTGAAACTGTAACCAAAAGTCTTCCCAAAAACAAAAGCCCAGGCCCAGATGGATTTACTAGCAAATTTTTCCAAACATTTAAAGAGGACCTATTGCCAGTTCTTCTCAAGATTTTCCAGGAAATTGAAAAAACAGAAACTCTCCCAAACAGCTTCTATGAAGCCCATATCTCTCTAATACCAAAAGGAAACAAAGACATCACAAGAAAAGAAAGCTACAGGCCGATATCCCTGATGAACACAGATGCGAAGATTCTCAACAAAATACTAGCCAATAGAATTCAATAACTCATCAAAAAGATCATACATCATGACCAAGTGGGATTCATCCCAGGGATGCAAGGATGGTTCAACATTCGGAAATCAATCAACATAATCCATCATATCAACAAAAGAAAAGATAAAAATCATATGATCATATCAATAGATGCAGAGAAAGCATTTGACAAGATCCAGCACCCATTCATGATGAAAACCCTTGCCAAAATGGGGATAGAGGGGACTTCCCTCAATATAGTTAAAGCCATCTACCACAAACCTACAGCAAACATCATCCTCAATGGGGGAAAACAGAGACCCTTCCCCCTAAGGTCAGGGACGAGACAAGGATGCCCACTCTCTCCACTACCATTCAATGTAGTACTGGAAGTACTTGCAATAGCGATTAGGCAAGAAAAAGATATTAAGGGCATCCAGATAGGGAAAGAAGAAATTAAGCTCTCACTATTCGCAGATGATATGATACTATATTTAGAGAACCCTAAAACCTCTACCAAGAAACTCCTAGAAACAATAGGCTTGTATAGTAAAGGGGCAGGCTATAAAATCAATAGCCAAAAATCCATGGCTTTCCTATACGCAAATAGTGAAAGAGAAAAAAGTGACATGAAGAAAACAATCCCATTCACAATTGTGCCCTAGAAAATCAAGTACCTGGGAATCAGCTTAACTAAGGAAGTAAAGGACCTGTACAAAGAAAATTACAAAACGCTACTTCAGGAAATAAAAGAGGACACGAGGAAATGGAAAAATATCCCCTGTTCATGGATGGGGAGAATCAACATCATCAAAATGGCAATACTTCCCAAAGCACTGTAAAAATTCAATGCAATCCCTATAAGGATAACCATGACATTCTTCAAAGAAATGGAGCAAACACTCCTGAAATTTATATGGAACAATAAGCCCCCACGAATAGCTAAAGCAATTCTTGGGAAAAAGAAAATGGGAGGAATCAACCTCCCTAACTTCAAACTCTACTACAAGGCGGTAATAATTAAAACAGCATGGTACTGGAACAAAGGCAAAGCTGCAGACCAATGGAACAGAGTTGAATATACGGACATTTCCTCCCAAACATATAATCATCTAATCTTTGATAAGGGGGCAAGAAAAGTGAAATGGAGCAGGGAAAGCCTCTTTAATAAATTGTGCTGGCAAAACTGGATGGCTACATGCAAAAAAGTGGGCTCAGATCTCTGCCTAACGCCATGCACAAAAGTAAGATCGAAATGGATTTATGACCTCAACATCAGACCGGAATCCATAATGTTTATTGAAGACAAAGTCGGCAAAACTCTCCATGATATCGAAGCTAATGGTATCTTCAAAGATGTCATGCCACTGGCCGAGCAAGTGAAAACAGAGATAGACAAATGGGACTATCTTAAACTAAGAAGCTTCTGCACCTCAAAAG